GGTCCTGGCCATGGTGAGGGGCTTGGACCCTGCTGTGGTGCTGAGCTCGTGTTGTGATGTTGTGTCCAGGCTATCGGTCGGTGCCGTTGAAGAACAGCTACACCGAGGACCTGGAGCTCGCCTCCCTCCTCATCCACATCGAAATCATCAACGCCAAGGCAGGTGGCCCAGGCAGCTTGGGAAACCTGGAACAGGGAGAACCAACTTTTTGGGATGACCTGCCCACCACACCATCCTCACACACTTGTTTTGGAGCAGGAGGAAGATGAGGAGAACCTCTACTCGTCCATCCAGCAGCTGCGGGACCGTGCCAGCGAGCTCTCCAGCCAGGTCTCCAGCTACGAGCGCACCAACGGCTGCGATTCCCGCTACCAGCAGCGCCTGGACGAGCTCCGGGCAGCCCAGGAGCGGCTCATGGAGCTCACTGAAGTCCGCAACCGCAAGTGAGTTTGTCCCCTCCCTGTGGCTTTGGGACGCCCCTCTTGGGGAAGGTCCCTAAGGCCACCACCCTGCTCCCCACCAGGTTGATGGAGAAGAAGAAGAGGGACCGGCAGATGGTCACCAAACGCAGCTGAGCTGGAGGGACTCAGAGCTGAGGAGCTCCCCCAGCCACCTCCTCTCCTGCCACAAAGAGAGGTGGGGTGGCCACATCCGGACCTCCCACCACGCCCAGGGCTGGGTGACAGCAGTGTGACAAATTCGGGGATGGAAGGGGGCCTTGGGTAGCTGTGCCTGTGACGGGGGTGAGGCGGGAGGTGAGATGCTCTGGCTTCAATCCCAGGTGCCTCCAGCTTCATCCCACGTTCCCTGGGGCTCATGGCCACGTCCTTGTCCCCACAAGGTGGCCACAGTGGCTCTTCCTCACCCAACATTCTCAATGTCCCACCATCCCATGGCAGCCCCATGACCAATGGGGAAACTGAGGCACAGGGGCCCAGCTGGCCCAGGATGGGGCAGGACCAGCCACCTCCATCCTGGGCACAGGTGTCAGGACTGGCTGGTGGTGAGGCACCAGGATGGGGACACAGGGGACACTTCTGGGGGGTTTAGGGGGGTATTTTGCTCCCCTGCTATAAATACCTGTATTTTCTTCTTTTATCCAGCGTGTACATATGGCGTGGGGGGAGGGAGTGTCTGTACCAGCCACAGTATTAGGGCACAAGGGGGACCCCAAAATGTCCAGAGGTGTCCCAGCATGGGACCAGGGGAGCAGGGGACCAAGTCTGGGGCTGTCCCACAAGGCAGAGTGGCCTGTGACAGGGTGCCCTGAGCAGGCACCTGGTAAATACAGGCAGCAATGTGGCCCCAGAGGGGACAGGGATGTCCCCAAGGTGACCCAGAGTTGTCACCAAACTCTGGGAATGGGGACAGATCCTGCCAGTAAAGCCAGCTGAGGTGGTGGCCAGCCTGACGGTGGCTGGGGACATCTTGGGGTGTCCCCTGGGGTCGGGGTGTCCCGGCAGGGGAACCCTGTGTATTCTTTGTATGAAAATAAATCTATTTAGCCAATATTTATACCCTGCTGCTGTGACTTGGTGTCCCCTCCCTGCTCTGCTGCCACCTCGATGTCCCCAGGGTGGGTGATGTCCCCCGGGAGGTGGCTTGGTAGTCCCAGCTCCAGTGTGTCACCCTTGTCCCAGCAGCAGTGGGGACACCTGGGGGGTGTTGTGGCAGGCAGGGCCACCCAGGAAGGACACAAGGCAGAGGGACACGGGGACAATGGGTACAAGGTTGTAGGGACACAGGGCAATGGGGGCATGAGGCCATGGGGAGAGGGCTCTGAGGACACACAGCTGTGCAGGATCACAGGGCCATGCCATGGGGACACACATGGGTCCATAGGGATTTGGGTCCATGGGGACACGAATTCATGGATCCATAGGGATTTGGGTCCATGGGAGCACACATATCAGTCCATAGGGACGTGGCACCATGGGGACACACACAAATCCATAGGGCTTGGGGTCCATGGAAACACACATGGGTCCATGGGGATTTGGGTCCATGGGGACACACACCCCAGATACAGAGGGGCTGGGGTCCATGGGGATGCAGATTCAGGGATCCATAGGGCTTTGGGTCCACAGAAACACACACAAATCCACAGGGATTTGGGCCCATGGAAAGACACATTAGAATTTGGGTCCATTATGATACACGAGTCCATAGGAATTTGGGTCCACAGGGGCAGACACAACAGGATCCATGGGACTTTAGGACCATGGAAACACATGCGAATCCCAAGGATTTGGGTCCATGGGGACACACACCCTGGATACACAGGGCCTTGGGTCCATGGGGACACACATTCAGGGATCCACAGGGATTTGGGTCCATGGATATACATGTGAGTCCATAGGGATTTGGGTCCATGGGGGCACACACTCCAGGATCCACAGGGCTTTGGGACCATGGAAACGCTTGCAAATCCATTGGGATTTGGGTCCATGGAAACACATGTGAAATCATTGGGATTTGGGTCTATGGGGACACAAACCCCAGATACACAGGGACTTGTGTATTTACAATTCAGGGATCAGATTCAGGGACACAGATTAAGGAATCCTTAGGGATTTGGGTCCATGGGGACACACACTCCAGGATCCATAGGGATATGGGACTGTGGAAACACATGCAAATTCCAAGGGATTTGGGTCTGTGGAAACACAGGTGAGTCCACAGGGATTTGGGTCCATGGGGACACACACATGGATCCATAGGGACATGGGTCACAGGGCCATGCCATGGGGACACACACGGGTCCACAGGGATTTGGGTCCATGGAGATACACCCATGGATCTATAAGGACACAGGGACATGGGTTCGTGGAAATACATGTGAATCCATTGGGATTTGGGTCCATTAGGACACACATGGATCCATAGGGGCATTGGTCCATGGGAGCACAAATTTACAGATATATAGAGATTTTGACCCATGGGAATACACACACAGATCCACAGGGACGTGGCACCATGGGGACACACACGAATCCTTAGGGATCTGGGTCCAGGAGGACACACGCTCCAGGATCCATAGGGATTTGGGACCGTGGAAACACATGCAAATTCCAAGGAATTTGGGTTCATGGAAACACGTGTGAATCCACTAGGATTTGGGTCCATGGGGACACACACTCCAGGATCCATAGGGCTTTGGGACCATGGAAAAACACGCAAATCCACAGGAATTTGGGTCCATAGAAACACCCCCGGCCCGCCGCCCCTCACGCAGTTCCCGCCTTCCCCCCAGGCCGGCCGGCAGGGGACGGGGCCTGCTGCAGCGCCACGCCCCCTTCCCTCCTTGTGATCCCGCCCCTTCACTCCTATTGGTCGTTCCCCTCTCCCTGCCGTTTCCCATTGGCTGGCGAGCCGCGCGCTCTCGGACGCGGAAGTGCCGGAGCCGGAGCGGCGGCGGAGACGGTGAGGGGAGGGGGGAGGGGTCGAGCCCAAACCCCGCTCGGAGCTCTGGGAACGGGAATTTATTCCCATAAATCGGAGAAAATTGGGAATATTCTGGTTTAAATACCCGTGTTGCGCTTGGGTTTGATGAGGAAAAGGGTTTATTGGTGTGGTTCCGCGAGGAAAATGGTTTATTTGGCGGTTTTGGTGAGGAAATTAGTTTATTCTTGTTTATTTTTGTGAGAAAAGCTGTTTATTCTTGGGGTTTGGTGAATAAAATTGTTTATTCTCTGGGTTTTTTTAATGAGAAAAAGGGTCTATTCCGGCGTTTTGATGAGAAAAAGAAATTGGTTTTGGTTCTTTTGAAAATGAGGAACATGATTTATTCGTAGTTTTTGATGAGGAAAGTGGTTCATTTTTGCGTTTTTCTTGAGGAAAAAAAAAGTTCATTTTCGGCTTTTAAGGAAGAAAATTGTTTATTTGTGGGTTTTTATGAGGAAAATGACTTATTCTCGGAGGGTTTTGATGAGGAAAATGGTTTATTCCTGGGGTTTGATTAATAAAATTGTTTATTCTTGCTTTTTATGAGGACAGTTGTTTAGTCTTGCGGGTTTTGTGATAAAAATTGTTTATTTTTTGCTGTTTATGAGGGAAATGGTTTATTTATGTGGTTTATTCTGGAGCTTTCATGAGGAAAATGGGCTCGATGAGGAAAGTTTATTCTTGGTTATTTTGTATTCTTATATTTTTGTTTATATTCTTGGTTAATTTATGAAAAAATTTATTTTTGGGTTTTGGTTAATTAAATAGTGTATTATTGGGAATTTGATAAGAAAAATCAACTTATTTTGGGCTTTTAGTGAGGAAAATGTTTTGGTTTTTTTTATTCACCCTTTCTTCATGCTCAAACAAAATTTTTTGGATCCTGATTTTCTGTGGAATAATCAAAGGAGAAGATAAGGGAGGATAAAAAGTGGAATTCAATGACTGGATTTTAATTACTACTGGAATTTAAATATTAGAATGTAACAACTGGAATTTAACTGGAATTCCACCACTCAGATTAACCTACTGGAATTTTAACCACATGAATTTTCACGTGTCAGAATTGAACTAAAAAATAAGCACCAAAATATATTCCAGCTTCCAGATACTTTTATTTCTTTTAATATAAATTAAATAATAAATAAATATTTGCTAGGAAAGCTGGAGATCTTTGATACCTCAAGGGGTGATGTGCATATATCTGGAACGAATATTCAAAATATTTGTGAATATTCATGAGCTGTAGCAACACCGAGGAGCGGGAATCCCTTTTCCAGGGAATTTTAAAAGGCAGGATTGATCCTTTGCCTCTCTCCCGTGAGTAAGGAAAGAAAACATGGAATTTAATGAGGCTGGACAGGGTCAGAACAGGTTGGACCAGCTGGAGCAGCCTCTCCATCCCTGGAATTATTCCAGGTGTGGCTGGAATAATGGAGCTTGGAGCAAACTGGGGTAGGGAAAGGTGTCCCTGCCCATGGAATGAGATGAATTTAAGGTTCCTCCCAACCCAAACCATTCCATGATTCCATGATTTTGGGGTGTTTTTGGTGAAATCTCATCCTGGGAGTGTGTAGGGGAGAAGGCAGAGCTGGACTTTTCCCATGGAAGCACAGTGAGGGAACAGGGATGAGCAGGAATGCGGGAAACCGGGTTAGATGGAATTTTGAATCACCACGAGGGTGATTAAACACCTGGAAAAAGGGAGCAGGGAAGTTTTGGGAGAGGCTCAAACTCACCCGGGCGAGGCTTTGAGGCCGGGGTTCCGTCCAAAGCCTCTCCCAACCCCCGGAATCTTCGGGAATTCTTCGCCAACACTCACAAATCCCCATTGCTGTGACTCTCCCAACCCAGGCGAACCTGCCATGTCCAACCTCCCGCCTCTGGCAGCCGACAGGAATTGCTTCTACATCCTGACCGAGGACTGTGCCTATGGAAACAAGTACTTCCAAGCCGGGAACCTGTGCTTCTGCAGCGAGAGGAGCTACCTGCGGAATTTTTCCGAGGATGGGCCCCCGGCTTGCTTCCTGAAGGTCGTCATGCTGGACGACAGCTCCACGGTCACCATCAACCTGGGAATCCTGCAGCCCGTGCGCCAGGAAGCCGCCGGGTTCCTGCTGGCCATCGGGAGCCACAGCGAGCGCCTGCATTTTTTCCTGGAGAGGCAGAGCCTGGAGGGAGCTCTCCGAGCCGTGCCGGGTCAAAATGTGATGGTGGAGGTGGAGAGGGAATTTTTCCCGGGAGTCGTGCGCTACATCGGGAGCATCTACAAGCCCAGCTTGGCTGTGCTGACCCCGGTGTTTTTTGGGGTGGAATTGCAGGTAAGGGTGGGGGCAAAGCAGAGAATTCCTCGTTTTTTCCATGAAATTTTTCTCTGTGGGTGACATCCTGGTGTGTTTTCAGGGAGAGGGGGAAAACAGAGGGAGAAGTGATGGGTCCTACCACGGCACCGAGTACTTCAAGTGCAAGAGGAACTGTGGGATCTTCCTGCCCTTCAGCAAAATCCAGTTTATTCCCACATCAGGCAACGATTATGGGAAGCAGAAGCTGGGAAAACAGGACACGGAGGAGGTGGTTCCCGTGAAAGTGGGAGACGCCGTCAGCTTCTTCGTGGATGAGATCCCCACCAAAGGAATTGCCATGGCAGTTTACAGGGAAGGGAGAAAATGGTTTGTGAAGGTTTGCCCGGTAAGAGCAGCTTTTCCATGGGGATTTTTTGGGGATTTTAAAGGAAAAAATCACATTATGGTTGGATGTGCAAGAGCAATAGAAGGAATATCCAAAAGGGACGTGAGGTTCTGTGTAAACTTTGTTTAAAAAAATCCTTTATATTCCAGTGTTTAGCTGATGGGTTTTTCCGTAGCTGATGGATTTTTCACTCCTTCCAGGAAGAAGAAGGAACGACTGACATTTTCAGGGAAATCCCCATGGAATCTGTTGTGAAGGAGAGCTTGCAAAGTAGGTGATCTTTGGATGTGTCTCTCCTGATCCCGTTCTGGGGGAATTTGGAATTTATTTCCTCTCTGCAGGGCACTGAGGAGCTGAAATGCCAATAAAACCTACAGCTTGTCTTAATGGACCGGGATTTATGGAAAAATCTCAAGTTCCACACAAAGCTAAAGCTGAATCCCTTTTGTCAGGAAGGAGAGGCTGATGGTAGCAGCGAATTCCCTCAGGGAAGAGGCACCACTGGTTAAAAAGTCTTTAATTCAGCTGGAAAAGATGGAGCAGGAGCTTCATCCTGGTGGGAAAGGCTCAGGTGCCAGCAGCAATGGTGGGAATTGTTGGACAAAACAAGGAATTAGTAGAAAAAATTAGGAAATAACCCCCTTGCTGCCATTCCAGTAGCCTGGGAAGGGCTGGATTAGCTCCAGGGCCAGCCAGAGGTTGGAATGTGAAGCTTTGAGCAGGGAAACAAGGAGCAAGATCATTCCCTCTCATCCTGTCAGACCAGCTTGGACACACTGGGAATTACACCTTGTGTCCCTGCTGCTCAGCTTCCTGTTTGTGTGTAGCCTGGAATTTCCAAAATAGACCCGGAATTAGGATCCAATTCCCAGTTTTGCTGATGTTTTGTGTTGCCCATCAGGTTTTTTCCCAGTGTTCAACTCCGACGTGGGCTTTGGAAAATCAAACCAAACGAAAGGAGAGATCAGCGAGAGCAGCGAGGAAGGGGAAGGTGGGAATTCACCCCTGGAAGTGAATTCCATGGTCCAGATTACCTTGGACAAGGGGAATCAAGTTTCAGGGATCATCCGCTGGTTGGGCTACCTGCCCCAAATCAAGGAAAAAATGGCTGGAGTTGAACTGGTGAGGCTGGAAAGCTGGGAAAGGACCTGGGAATGCTGTGCTTGAATATGGAGGGTGGAATTTTGGGATCCCCAGGTAAAGGGTATTGAGGGGCTGGAATGGAGCTGGGAAGGGTCTGGAGCACCAGGAGCAGCTGGGAGGGCTCATCCTGGAGAAATGGAGGCTCAGGGAGAACCTTCTGGATCCCTGCAATTCCCTGACAGGAGGGTGGGGCCCGGTGGGAATTGGGCTCTGCTCCTAGGGAACAAGGGACAGAACAACAGGAAACAGCCTCAAGCTGCTCCAGTGGATGTTTAGGTTGGATATTGGGAAAATTCCTTCATGGATGGGGTTGTCCAGCCCTAGCACAGCTGCCCAGGGCAGGGGTGAGGTCCCCATCCCTGTGGGGACACGATCAAATGGTGGCCTCAGCAGCACTGCATAGCTAGACTGTATCTCAGACCTCTTTTCCACCCATAATTCCATAAATCCTGCTGTTTTCCCAGGATGAAGACAAGGGGGTGACAGCTGGAGAGTGGCTGGGCAGGTCCTACTTCCACTGCGCCCCGAAGCGCGGCCTCTTTGTGAGGTTGAACTCCTGCCAGCCCGACGTGCGCTTCCAGAGCTTCCCCAGCTCCGAGCTGTCCCTGGGGGATTTCAGTGAGTCCTCTGGGAAGCAGGAAAACGGGGCTGAGATGGGAGAAGGATGTGGAAAAGCCCCGTTGGCAGGGTTTCTTCCTTCGAGTGTTGTTTTTTGGTGTTTATCCACATCTCTGGCTGGATCAACAGCTGGACTCAATCCTAGAGGTCTTTTCCAACCTAAATGGGAATATCCCTCAAGTCTGAAAGATTGTGATTTATGAAAAGCTGGATTGAGAAGCCACCTTAGGTCTGAGAGTTTTAGGCTCTCCCCAGACTTTTGAGGCATCAAGGAAGGGCAGAGTTGACCCAGGTGAGAAGGTGAAGGCAATTCCTTTTCTTGCAGGAGGACAAGAAGCTCTTCCAGAGGGTGCAGAGAGTTTTCCTCCCCTCAGGAATGAGGCAGCAGTCCGTGTTCTCCAAGGGCGGATGAAGGGCATCCAAGGCCATTGTAATTCCTGCTACATGGATGCAGCTCTCTTCAGGTAAGGACCTGCTTGGGTGGTGCAGACTCCTTAAATGAATGGCTTTTTAATTAAGCTGAGCCCCAAATTGCAGCACTTCCCTGGATTTCCAAGGTGGCTGGAAGTTTACCTGGTGCAGAGCAAGGTGTAACTGTATGGAGGTGCAACCTCCGTGGTGCTTTTGAATCTCCTTCCCAAATCCAGCAAGTTTTTCAGCCCTGAAGACCCCCCTGTACCCCTGTGTCTGTCATTCAGGGGGCTGAGAGCTCGTAGTTTTCCGGATTTGGACTGTGCTGACTCTGTCCCTGGAAGTTCTGGCTCGAGTCATTCCAAAGAACCCACCCAGGAGGTCCCAACTTCCCTGCTTGGAGAGGAAAAAGACTCAGTGGTGCCCTTCCCTGAGCAGTTTTGGCTGCAAAGTAGGAATTTCCTTCTCCCTGAGCTGTCCCCTTGCTTTGTCCCAGTGTTCATTGTTCCAGCTGTGCCTCACCGTGCAGATGTTTCCCTCACCTCCCTGTAATTCCATGCATGGATTGTTGGACATCAAAGCCATTGACTGTCACCAGCCACCACATTTTTGGTTTCCAGCTGTTGTTTCCAAGCCCTCAAACTCAAATCCATCCCACTCTTCCCACAGCCTCTTCTCCTGTACCTCCGTGCTGGACTCCATGCTCTTCATGCCCTTCCCACTGTGTGACAGGAATGTCCAGGGAATTCTGCGGGATGAGATCGTCAATCCCCTCCGTAGGTGAGTGTAGGGAATGCTGGAATTTGTCCCATTTGCCCTCATTCCTTCCCTGCTGCCCTAAAGGTGATACCTGGCACCGAGGAAAACCTGGCATCCACATCCAAAGGTGTTCAGGACAAGGAGGAATGGTTTTAAACTGACAGAGCATGGATTGGGATGGGATATTGGGAAGGAATTTTCCATGTGAGAGTGCTGAGGGGGTGGAATGGAATTCCCAGTGGATGCCCCATCCTTGAAAGTGTCCCAAGCCAGGTTGGATGTGGCTTGGAGCAACCTGGTCTCGTTGGTGGCATCCCTGCCCATGGAAGCGGGGGTGAACTGGATGAAGATCCCTTCCAAGCCCAGCCATTCCATGGTGTCCCTCACCTGCAGCTGGTTGTTGTTCCCAGGAGTGGCTTTGTCAGGGCCAGCAGTGTGATGCACCTCCGGGAGCAGCTCACGGACAAGGGCCAGTGCTCCAGCTTTACCAACGCTGAGAAAGGTGAGGAGCTCCCTGGGGCCCTTCCCCAGCTGCTTCCCTGTGTTTTTCCTCCTCCAGGAGCCAGCTGGACACTTCCCTTTGTGCTAGGAATGTGCTTTAATTAGGTGCTGATGTTAATTGGTGTAGAAATTCAGTTGTAGAATTCTTTCAGTTTTTAAATATCTCTGTACCCGTAGAGGCCCATCCAGTGCCTAAAGGGGCTCCAGGAAAGCTGGGGAAAGATTTTGGACAAGATATGGGGGGACAGGACACAGGGAATGGCTTCCCACTGCCAGAAGGGAGATTCAGATGGGATACTGGGAAGGAATTCTTCCTTGTGAGGATGGTGAGGGGCTGGAATGGAATTCTCAAAGAAGCTGTGGCTGCCCCATCCCTGGAATTGTCCAAGTCCATGTTGGATGAGGCTTGAAGCAACCTGGGATAGTGGGAGGTGTCCCTGCCCATGGCAATGGCTGTAATTCCATGATCTTGAAGGTCCTTTTCCACCCAAAACCATCCCAGAATTCCATGGAAGTGCAGTCTCTGAAGGCTGCTTGGCATTTTCCATGTTCCCTTTGGGATTTTTGCCTTAACCATGTGCTCTCAGCCTTTATCCCTAACCTGAAGAGAAAATTCCAGGCCCCTGGAATGCTGGCTCATGTTTACCTGGCAGCTCTTGGATGCAGTGGGACAAGGCAATTCCTGGCATGGTCTGATCCATCCTCTCCTCTCACTTTCCAGATCCTGAGGAGTTCCTCAATCTCATAATGCAGCAGATCCTGGGAATTGAGCCACTACTGAAACTCCAGTAAGTTTCCACAGCTGAGGGATACAATTCCCAGGGCCAGGCTCAATTATTTTCCACCTCAGAATCCCTGGGCAAATGGGGGTCATTTATCCCTTTCCACCGAAGTTTTTTGGAATCACAGCTCTGAGTTTTTCTCAGCTCCTTAGGAACAGACTCTGATCCTGCTTGTTGTGATTTTCCCATCTGGACAAAGACACTTCTGAGCCCTCCCTGGAGGGTGCTGCCTTCAGAATATCGGGATAAAAACCTTGTGCCATCCTCAGGGGGAGCCAGAAGGGGTTTGAGAAAGGGGATGTCCGACTTTGGGGCAGATCCAGCAGTTATCCAACAGCCTTTGGATAAATTTGGGATGAGTCCAGGCTGCCAAGCTGGCTCAGCTCCCACAGTCTCTCAAAACAGGCAGCCCATGGATGCACTCCCAGTTTTTTGGGGACTCTACAAAGAGGATGAGAGGCTGGAGGAAGCCAAAAATAACTGTGCTGTTTTGTGAGCACAGAAAGGGAATTGTTGGATTTCTGTGCTCCTTTGTGGAGCCGCCGCTCGAGCCGTGGATCGTGGAGTGCTGGGAAAGGCCGAGCACAAAGAGGACTCTGTGCTGCAGCTCCCCTGCATGGGGTCATCCCAAGGAAATCCTTTCCCTGCTTTCTTTAGGGATTGTGGGAGATCTGCACACAGCTCACCTTCAGTTTTGGATGCATTTTTTTTAATTAATCCTTCATCGAAGCATCCGTTTGTCAATTTAAATTCTAAATTTACTAAATTAGATTTATATCAAGGGGATATTGAATTTTGCTTATAGGATGTGCTGCTCCAAAGGGATAATAAGGCCAAAATTCCTACTTATCTACTGCTCCTCTGGCATAAATTTGGTATTTTTGGGTGGAAAAATCGCTTTGTGTGGCACCAAACCATCCTCAGTGCCTTGAGCCCAGGAGCTCTCCCAGGACAAACTTTGGGAAACTCCAATTTTTGTGTCACCACATCCCCAATCCCATGAGCTCTCCTTGCAGGTCAGGAGGCCAGGAGCAGGGATGTTACTGCTACCAGATATTTATGGATAAACAGGAGGATTTGGTGGTTCCCGATGTGCAGCAGTTGGTGGAACGCTCCTTCCTGTCCTCAGATCTGAAGCTGGTGGAGGTGAGTCCAGTTTCCTTCTGCTTTCCTGCTTTTCTTGCTTCCCAAAACACCTGTGAGGCCTTGGATGTTTTATATCCAACACTGAATCCAGGAAAGATTTAGGAAAAGGCCTCTGCTTTCCCTGTTTGCCTTTTGTCCTGTGAATAATGACAGCAAATTGAGACAGAGCAAAAAAATCTCTGGGATTTGGCTCTTCTGGCAGGGTGACTCTTTCCCTTTTTATTTTTTTTTCCTAGATCCCATCTTGCTTCATTATCCAAATGCCACGTTTTGGGAAGGAATATAAAATGTTCAGCAAAATCATCCCTTCCTTGGAGCTGGATATAACAGATCTGCTGCTGGACAGTGAGTGATGATGATGATGATGATGATGGGCTGTGAGCAACCAGCTCTGGGCTCTCTGGGGTGGGATTCTTCTTCCTTGAGTCCCAGTTTTGGCAGGACAAGCTGGATTTTAGGTGGGATCTGGAGGAGAGCCTCCCTCTGAGCTCTGTTTTTCCCCTGGCAGGTCCCAGGGAATGCTGCCTGTGTGGGGATGTTGCCACTCTGGAATGCTCAGAGTGTTTCAAGGACAAAGTGTTTGCAGCCACGGGCCTGAAGCAGTTCTGCAGCTCCTGCTCCAAACAGGTATTCCATGGTTATTCCCAAAATCCACCTTGGAAGCTGTCAGTTGGATGAACCCTCCCAAAATCCCCACATTCTCCTGGGCTGTCCCTGCAGCTCTCAGCCCTCTCCTGAGGGTCGTTCCCACCAGGAGACAGAGGTTATGAAACCTCTTAAATAATAATGGAATCATAGAAAAACTTGGATTGGACCTTGAAGCTCATTCCAGTTCCACCCCTTGGATGCTGCTCAGGTGGCTCCAAGCTCTGTCCTACCAGGCCTTGGACAATTCCAGGGATGGGACATCCACAGCTTCCCTGGACAACCTGTTCCATAAATGAGGTGCAATCCTGCAGGAACTGAGTGCTGCTCCCTCCCTGCTGTTTCTCCATGAGCATTCCCACAGTTTCTCCCTCTTGCAGGGCGGGAAGCTCCCATCTCATCTTCCTGCTGCCAGGCTGTTCCCAGGCAAGCAGGGAGCACGGGAATCACATCAGCAGGGAATAAATTGGGAATGTGACCTCTGTCCCCCCTTCCTGGCAGGCCAGGGCCAGTTGTGCCAATGCCACCCTGTCCCCTCTCCTCAGGTTCACTCCCATCGCCGCCGCAAAACGCACAAACCCAGGAAGCTGCACATTCCAGAGGAATTCCAGAGCTGGAGCGCCCGGGGCTGCCAGCAGGTGCCTCGGGAGAAGCTGGAGCTGTTTGCAGTGCTCTGCATCGAGACCAGTCACTACGTGTCCTTCGTGAAATACGGCCCTGGCAACGAGCACTGGATGTTCTTCGACAGCATGGCCGACCGGCACGGTGAGGGAACGGGAATGGGATGTGGGAATGGCATGTGGGAAGCTGCCCAGGCCTGCTCAGTCCACCTTTTCCTCTCAAGTTTCCCTGTTTAGGCTTTCTGTGGATTTGGCTTTCCTTTAATTAGATTGCAAGGGGGTTTTTCCAGGTGGTTCCAGCTCCTGGTTGTGGTCAAACAAGGGATTTGGGATCCTGTCCTAGCTTGTGGGCACAGATTGCTTCTCCTGTCCTTCCCCACTGTGCTTCTATCACAGAATCATGGAATGGTTTGGGTTGGAAGGGACCTTAAAACTCATCCAGTTCCAGCCCCTGCCATGGGCACCTTCCACTATCCCAAGTTGCTCCAAGCTCCATCCAACATGGACTTGGACAATTCCAGAGATAGGGCAGCCACAGCTCCTCTGGAATTTCCATTCCAGCTCCTCACCATCCTCACAGGGAAGAATTCCTTCCCAATATCCCATCTGTCCCTGCCCTCTGGCAGTGGGAAGCCATTCCCTGCATCCTGTCCCTCCATCCCTTGTCCAAAATCCATCTCCAGCTCTCCTGGATCCCCTTTAGGTTGGATGGTCTCCCCTCATCCAACCTCTCCCACTGCTTTTGATCTCCACATCTCCCAGCTGAGGCTCTGCATGACTCCAGAGCGTGCTGGGATCTGCTGGAGCTGTAGGAACCCATCCCTTTGGGATCTGGTTTGGGAATTTTCTCCTCCTTTCCACCTCAGGTGGCGAAAACGGCTTCAACATCCCCACGGTGACGCTGTGCCCGGAAATTGCCAAATACCTGGACTTGCCCCTGGCTGTGCTGGCCCTGGAGCAGCCTCGGGACATGGATGGGGTGGCCAAACGCCTCTTTTGTGACGCCTACATGTACCTGTACCAGAGCAGGAAAATGGCACTTTACAAGTGACACCGTCCCAGAGCTGATGGCAAGGAGCAACATCAGGAATGGGAGCTTGGATCATCCCAGAAGGTGGAAGCAGCCAAGTCTGGATGCTCTGAGCTGCCTCTTCTCGCCTCTCTCGGTGTCAAATTATCCAAGCCAGGCTGGGTTTGTTAAATCCTGGCTTTATCCAGTGGTTGGTACTTGGGCACAGCTGGACTTGGAATTACTGATGCTCAAATTCATTCTTATTCCCCACATTCCACAACTCTCCCTCTCTGGGTACTCTGCAGCTGGAACATTCCCACATTCCTGTTTCCCTGCCATCCCTTCCCTCCAAAGCTGGGGACCAGCAGAAATCAAAACACAAGGAATTATCCACAGGTTTACCAAGAGACCACAACCTTTCCTAAAACCCCCTCACCTGGATTTGTGGAGTGAGGAAAATCAGGCCAGGACTGATTTTCCTCACCTGTGTCCCTCAATTCCCTGCACTTCCCTTATCCAGCACTAACTGGCACTTTTACCCACCATCCTTTATTTCCAATCATGGATATCCTGAGCTGAAGCTATGCTTTCAAAATAGGTATTTTTTCCAAGAACAAAACTGGAAGGAGGATGGGAGCAGAGGAGCAACATCTGGGCTCCTGCTGCTTCCTCTTTTTGGCAAAATCTGCACAGTATTCAGTGTTATTACAACCTCACTTTCAGCACTTTCTGTCCCATCTTTGCATCCACTTCCAAGTTTTGGGGTCAAATAGCAGAATTCCAAGGGCAAAAATAGGGAAAAAAAATGAGTACTCTGGGATTTTCTGCAGGAGGTTTAGGGTTTGGGTGGGAACTGATGTTCCTTAAGTTAAATAAATTTGTAAAATTGGGGGTTCCCTGCTGTTAAGTGGGAAGTGGAGTCAGTGGGATGCCCAAATTCCACAAAAAACCTCAAGGAAAACATCCAGGATTCCCAGATGTGCAGGTTTAACCCTGTTCCTCTCTTTTCCTCCCCTCTTTAATGCAGAGTGGAGTAATTTTAACAAAGCCTGGAGCTTTGGATCGGTCCTGGTGGCTTGGGATGCGTGGTTTGGGATCTTTCTGGCATTCCAGGTGTTGCCAGCAGGTCCTGGAGGGATTCTTTCCCTCTGCTCAGCTCTGATGGTTCGCACCTGGAATATTGGGTCCAATCTGGGGCTCCCCAGTACATGAGAGACAAAATCCAAGGAAAAACCGCAGAGATGATGAAGGGACTGGAGCATCTCCTATGAGGAGATGCTGAGGGAGCTGGAATTGCCCAGCCTGGAGGAAAAAAAGGCTCAGGAATCTCCTCAATATCCATAAATACCTGAGGAGAAAGTGCAGAGACACCCAGGAGCTTCTCTGCCCCCCAAAATGGTTCCTAAACATCAGGAATTGCATCTGTGAGGGTGACAAATGCTGGCCCAGGTCACTCTCCTTGTTCCTCATTCCTCCTCTCCCAAAAGCTCAGGAAAATCTCTACTCAGGTACAATGGACTCCTCATCTTTGGAGCTTTGCTTTAAAAAAAAAAACCTAATTTTTAGTAAACTGATCCTGGATTTCCTGGAGTATTTTTTTCGTCTTAAAATGGGATACAATGTTGTTGGAATTCCCAGAAATCCAAGACCATCAGGCCATGCTTTGTTAAGCTCTTAATTGTTTTCTTCCCTGTAATTTCTGCCAAGATCCAAACCATGGACAGAACAGCAAAGCCACAGGTTTGATCCCTGGGGATTTCCCTCTCCCCTTCCCATTCCCAATGGAGCTCCAAAGGGTTTTTCACTGGAATTAGGGTCAGAGCCATGATGGGAAAAGGCTTTTATTTGAATTTTTTTGCTTAGTGTGAAGCTCAGTGTGGGTTAGAGCCACGTTTCCTGTGGGAACAGGGGTTAGAGAGTGCAGGTGGCAACCTGGAGCTGGGATCAGCCTGGAGCCGGGATCAGCCTGGAGCCGGGATCAGCCTGGAGCTGGGATCAACCTGGAGCTGGGATCAGCTTGGAGCTGGGATCAACCTGGAGCCGGGATCAGCCTGGAGCCGGGATCAGCCTGGAGCTGGGATCAGCCTGGAGCTGGGATCAGCTTGGAGCTGGGATCAGCCTGGAGCTGGGATCAACCTAGATCCAGCTTCCACATCCCAGGGAATTTGGCCAGAATGGAAAGAGCTGGAATGTGGCCACAGAGATGAAGCTTGGAATTGCCAAAGCAAAGAGTGTCTGCCATGGGTGCCCCATGGGTGTCCCTTGTCAGCCTGTTGGTGGCACTCCAGACTTTGTTCTAGTGCCACCAAGTTGGGCACAGGAGTGGCAGGGCCACCAAGGAAGGCACAAGGCTGGCAGGGCCACCAAGCTGGACACAGGAATGGCAGCACCACCAAGACAAGGCAAAAGGCTGGCAGGGCCACCAAGTTGAACACAGGAGTGGCAGGGCCACCAAGGAAGGCACAGGGATGACAGGGCCACCAAGATAAGGCACAAGGCTGGCAGGGCCACCAAGCTGGGCACAGTTCTGCCACTTCCAGGGGATGCAGGGACAGCTCTGCCTTCCCCATCCCTGCATTCCCAGCTTCCCTACTGGGATCCCAGGGCGCTCTCCCAGTTCCTGCAGGTTCCTTGGGTTAGCACCAGGTCTAAATTAGAGCCATCAATTCCTAACGAGGCACCCGGGCTTCCCAAAAAAGAGCGGAGCAGGAGCTGGGGACGAGCAGGGACCCCCTCAGAGGCTGCCCTGGCGCAGCTCCAGGAAGAGCTGGTGCAGCCGTTCCGTCACGGCCACCTGGGAATGGGAACAGGAGGGGTCAGGGAGCAGCTCCTGGGAATGCCACTGGCTTGGAATGGCACTGGATTTGCTCAGGCCACCAAATCCAGCGGCATTCCCGGATGTGTGCCGGTGGGATGTGGGAAGTGCTAGACGTACTGGGTAGGGCTGTGGCTCGTGGAGCCGGCGGTGAGCAGGGCTGAGCAGGTTGAGGGACACCTGGGCGTGGGTCCTCACCTCGGGCAGGCTGGGCAGGGACTCACACACCTGCAGGGATGGAGATCCAGGTGGGAAGATCCGTGTGGGAAGCCACCACCCGAGCCACCGCGTCTGGGTCGGCACCAGAGTTGCTGGCACATCTCAGAAGCTGCCCTGGATCCATCCTCCAGCCTGGGAGAGGAGACCCCCCAGGAGATGGGAGCACCCCTGACCTGGCCATCCCTGAAGTAGGTGCGATGGAGGGGCTCCACAGTGCTGGGAATGACCTTGGTGGTCTCCTCCAGCCGCCCCAGGACTCGGATCCCCAGCTCCTGCCCCGCGCTGGGCGGCGGCTCCTCCTCCAGGGCCATGAGGTCCATGAAGGGGTGACCTGCCAGGAGGACATCAGGGAGGGAATTATGGAGCAGGAGATTCCCCCAGGATCCTGGGAAGGGTCTCCAGACTCACCAGCAGCATCATAGAGCCGATAGATTGCCTTCATCCCCGGGATTGTCATCTTCTCCTCATCCTCCGTGAGCTTCAGGCACGGGGAGCCATTGACTTCCACCAGCTGTGGGAGAAGGGAAGGGAACCTGTGACCCCTCTGGGGAGGCAACTGATGGAAATCAGCTGAAAAAAGACAATTAAAAAACCCTAAAACCACCCCAAAGTTGGGCATTCTACCTCCTCCTGCCTGTGGAGAACCTGGGGCTTCTGGTGGGCAAAGAATTGGCCATGACCCAATGCTGGCACCTGGAACTTCCCTGTGTCCTGGGCTGATCCCACAGCGTGGGCAGAGGAGAGGGGGAATTCTGCCCCTCTGTCCCTCTCAGGTGAGACCCCACCTGCAGAGCTGCTCCAGCCCTGGGGTCCAACATCAGGAGGATGTGGAGCTGCTGGAGCAGGCCCAGAGGAGGAGATGCTCCAAGGGTTGGAGCCTCTGCTCTGGAGCCAGGCTGGGAGAGCTGGGAATGTCGAGCGTAGAAAAGGCTCCGGGGAGACCTCAGAGCCCTTTCCAGTGCCTAAAGGGGCTCCAGGAGAGGTGGAGAGGGACTTGGGACAAGAGGTGGAATGACAGGACATAGGGAATGGCTTCCCACTGCCAGAATGCAGGGCTGGATGGGATACTGGGAAGGAATTCCACCCTGTGAGGGTGGTGAGGGGCTGGAATGGAATTCCCAGAGAATCTGTGGTTACCCCATCCCTGAAAGTGTCCAAGCCCAGGTTGGACAGAGCTTGGAGCAGGCTGGAATAGTGGAAGGTGTCCCTGCCCATGGTGGTAGAGAACCTTCAAAAATCCCTTCCAAGGCAAATTCTTTGTGACTCTGTGACTCCATTGGGGCTGGGTGGCCATGGAGCAGGCATGGACCACCTGGAAGTGGCTCAGGGAGGATTGGGATATTTGGGATTTAGGCTGCCACCTTTACCTTGTAGACACAGCCCAGCGACGGCTGCAGGGGACACGTCACCAGGTGGGTCCCGATGCCGATCATGTCGATCTCGCTCCCCTGGGGCAGCAGAGAAAACAGAGACCATCGACATCCCAGTCCTGCCAGCTCCGGGGACAGCCCAGGTGACATCCCAGCCGTGCCAGCAGGTTCCTCACCTCCCTCCTGAACTCCTCCAGGCTCTGCTCGCTGATGTCGTTGCTGACAGCGATGGGGATGGTCCCAAACCAGGGCACCTGGAAGCTGCAAGGAGCAGGATTTGGGAGGATCCACGGATGCACCCACAGCACCCAGAGCCTCCTAAATCCTGGCTGGAGGCAGGTGAGGATGACAGGGATCAGTGACACCCATCCCAGAGCTGGCGTGGGACTCACTGAGCTCCACAGGCTTGGAACACTCCCCGGATTTCCTTGGATTGCTGGGCCAGGTCCCCACTGTCGAGGCGCACTCCGATGGCCTGGTACCCCAGCTGGTGCAGTGCCAAGGCCACGGCACAGAAATTGGGCAAACCACTCCTGGCATGGGCAAGGAAAGCGTTAATGACAAGTGGAAAATGGATCCAGGGTGGATCCAGCAGCGTTTCCAAGCCCTGCACCAGCCAACAGTCCTACTTCAGGGCCACATCCACCCCCTGTGCCATGGTGGCAAAGTCCTGGTGTCCTCACCTCCTGACACAATAAGTGTCCAGCAATCCCTGGAAGTCACACGGGAAGGTGACAGCGTAGGACACGAAGGCGGCCAGCTCTCCCTGGTTGGCCTTGCTGGGAGGAGTCTGGAGCAGGTCACAAACCCTCTGCAGCCAGGACACAGCCAGGTCTGCCAGATCCACGGGATCTCCTCCGGCCCGGGGCGGCAGCTCCTGACAGGGGAACACGGGATTTGCACAGCCCATGGCATCATCCAAGGTGCCAGGAGTGTGGGAACGTGGGATTTGCACAGCCCGTGGCATCATCCAAGAGCCAGGAGTGTGGAAACTGGTGGAATCTTCCATTCCCCATCCATCCCACTCTAATCCCTGTCTGCATCCCCATCCCACCCCTATCTCATCCCACATCACATTCCCACCCCTATCCTCATCCTCATTCCCATCCCCATCTCCATCCTACCTTACCCCGACTCCCACCACATCCCTATCCCATCTCCATCCCTAACTCCATACAAACTCCATCCCCATCCCACTTCCTTCTGCCTATCCCTATCCCCATCCCAATTCCACCATATCCCATCTTCATTCACATCTCATCCCCAACCCCATTCAATCCCTCTCCCATCCCAACCCATTCCCATCTCCATTCCTATCCCCCTCTACATCCCCAACCCCATGAGAACCATCCCCATCCCACCCTCACCTGCACTCCCATCCCTATCCTCATCCAATATTCATCCCCATTCCCTATCCCATTTCCATTCCATCTCCTCCCATCTCTAACTCCATACAAACTCCATCCCCATCCCACTTTCTTCTGCCCATTCCTATCCCCATCCCAATTCCACCATATCCCATCTTCATCCACATCCCATCCCCCAACCCCATTCAATCCCTCTCCCATCCCAACCCATTCCCATCTCCATTCCTATCCCCCTCTACATCCCCAACCCCATGAGATCCATCCCCATCCCACCCTCACCTGCACTCCCATCCCTATCCTCATCCAATATTCATCCCCATTCCCATTCCCTATCCCATCCCATCCCATTCCCATTCCCATCCCATCCCATCCCTGGCCCCGCTCACCCGTGGCTGCACCTCCTCCAGGCACCTGAAGGACATGATGAAGGAGTGGGCGATGGTGCCGCGCACCGGAATTCCGTACAGTTTTCCCGCCAGGATGTTGCTGGTGCAGTCGAAGCCTGCGAGGAGGGACAGGGGGGACACCCAGGTGATGGCAGGGCCGTGGTGGCACCGGGCACCGTGGGGTGGGACTCACCCCCAATGTAGGAATATTTGGATGCCGAGAGGGCTCCGTCTGGCCCCTGCGCGCGGCGCAGCCCCATCTCTATGAGCTTCATGTCCGGCCCGGCCAGGAGGCGGAATCTGGCAGCGTTGGTGGCCACCAGGCTGGGGGACAAAGGGGACAGGTCACACAGAGCCAGCACAGCCAAGAGCAAGGGGCTCCAGGATCCTCCTTGTTTGGATGAGGCAGGGATCAGCACAGGACTCGGTGGACAGGGATGTGGTGGGGTTGATCAAGGGGACTTTGGGGACAGGGAGATCCTAAAGGTGACCTGTGGGGGACCAGGACATCTCTCAGGAGAACCTGAGGGACAGGGAGACTCTTCAGGGTGGGCTGGACATGGGAAGCCCCCAGGAAAACTTGGGGGGACACTGGGACACCCTCCAGTAGATAAAATTCAACTGTAGAATTCCAGCAGTTAAATCCCAGTAGGGCACTTGTGGGGTTGTGGTACCCAAGGACTGGGGTGTCCCTCTGGATTGGGGGGTGCTGCTCTCCCTTCCCTGTCCCCCTCCATCTTCCAGGGGGGCTTTGGGATCATCCCCATGACAAAATACCTGGCGTAGTTGATCAGGCACAGCAAGGTGGTCTCCAGCAGCTGCACCACCAGGAGCGGCCCCTTCACCTGCAGGAATGGCACCTGAGGGAAGAGAAGTGACATCCCAGTCCCTCTGGAGCACGGAGGAGCTGGGAAAGGCAGGAATAGGGGTCCAGGGGATCTCAGAGTGAAGGAAAAGGGAAGGCCTGGGCCTGGGAGAGGTGGGATGGTCAGAAAAGGGGTTGCAGGGGGATATTGGTGAAGGAAAAGGGGGTACAAGGGGATTCCAGTGCCAGGGAAGGAGGTGCAGGGGGATCCTATTGCCGAGGAATGAGGGTCCAGATTGTCCCTGTGCCCAGGAAAGGCATTCCAGGGGTGCCCAGTGTGAAGGAAAAGGGGACACTAGCATGGCCAAGATGGGGGTTCCAGGGGTCCATGGTGTTGAGGAAAGAGGGGGAGGCTGGGGGGTGGAAAGGTGGGATTGCAGTTCCAGGGGCTCCCACGGTCAGGGAAAAAGGGAGGTCTGGGAGCTGGGAGAGCTGGGATGGTCAGGAAAGAAGATGGAGAGGGGTCCCACCCTGGCAAAGACGACGGAGCCCTCGGGAATGGCGGTGACGGTCACCTCGGAGGCGTCCAGGGTGGCCAGGTAGTCAAAGAAGGCGTCGTCGATGGTGCTGGGCAGGACAGAGCGCAGGTACGCGACATCTGTGGGGACAGCGCGGTGACACCGGGGACGAGGGACACAGGGGGGACACTGAGCCTCCCATGGACAGGTGAGTGACAGCAGAGGGGTGACAGCACCCCCAGCATGGAGCGTGACAGGGTGGGGTGGCACAAGTCCCCTGTGAGGGACATCTCTGGAAGATGTCTCAGTGCCCCCCCCCAAGCTTCTGTGACAGCTCTTTGTGTCCCCTCTTGCCCTGTGTCCCCTGAAGAGTCTCCCTGTCCCCCAAGTTCATCTGAGGGATGTCCCTGTCCCTTTATGAGTTGTCCTGATCCCCTGCAGTGCCCCAGGGGGGTTCCCCTGTCCCCCAAGTCCCCCTCAAATACTGTCCCTCTCCCCCACTGCAGGTCCCCAGTCCTCCAGGTCCCTCTGAGAGACATCCCTGTCCCCATCAAGTTCTCCTGAGGGATTCCCGTCCTCCCCAAGTCCCCCTGAGGGGTTCCCCATCCCCAGATCACTCTGAGAAAAGTCTCTGCCCCCCTTTAAGTCCCCCAGGATGCCGTCCCATCCCTTACAAGTCTCCTTGAGTTATTCCCCCATCCATCTCCGGGGGGAATTTCCCTCCTTCCCCCGCATCCCTCCCACTCTCCCCGCTATCCCTCGTCCTCTGCCCTTTCCCCTCCTATCCCCTGGAGTTGTTCCAAAGCCTCCCTGGGAAGGTTCCCCTTCTCCCTCTCCCACCGCCGTCCCCACAACGCTTCTCCCCTCTGTCCCCTCCTGTCCCCGCTGTCCCCTTGAGTTGTTCCCCCCTCCGTCCCTCCCCCTTGAACCTCTCCCGTCCCTTCTTCACCCTCTCCTCCATCCCGCCTTGCCCCTGAAGTTGTTGGAGCTGCTTCCCTGTCCCTCCAAGTCCCACCGGGACGCTCCCCTCGCCCACCACTCCTCCCTCTGACCCCAACACGTGTCCCCCTCTTGTCCCCCGCTGTCACCACGCACCGGCAGCGGAGAAGCGGAAGGCTCGGAGCCCCCGCAGCCCCTCGGCCAGGCCGGCGCCGAGCGCGAAGGAGCCGCGGAAGGGCGGGCGGCGGAAGAAGAGCTCGGCGGCGGCCGGGGCGCGGTGTCGCCCGGCCCGCCAGTGCCCGTAGGCCATGGACACCTGGTACAGGTCGGCCAGCGGCGCCATGGCGGGGCGGGGACAAGGGGACAGGGGTGGGGACACGGGGAGGAGCGGGGAAAATAGGAGGGATGCGGAAGCGCGGGGTGGGAGCACGCGGGGATGGCGACACGGGGCAGGAGGGATGGCAGCATAAGGGGGACACGGGAATGACACGGATGGCAGCACCAGGGGGACACGGGGATGGCAGCACAACGGGGACACGGGGCAGGGTTGGTGACACAGCTGGACACGCAGGGTGGCAGCGCACAGTGGACATGTGGCGCAGGGATGGCAGCATAAGGGGGACACCAGGATGGCAGCAGAGGGAAGATACAGGGACAGAGGAACACGGGGGACAACGGGAACAGGGCAGCAGGGATGGCAGCACACAGGTGACACTGGGATGGTGACAAATGCAGGACACTGGGCACAGGGGATTGGCAGTACAAGGGGAACACGGGGATGGCAGCAGAGGGAAGATACAGGGACAGAAGGACACGGGGGACAACGGGGACAGGGCAGCAGGGATGGCAGCACACGGGGGACATGGGACAGGGATGGCAACACGGGTGACACTGGGATGGTGACAGATGCAGGACACTGGGCACAGGGGACGGCAGCACAAGGGGGGACACAGGATGGCAGCAGAGGGAGGATACAGGGACAGAGGGACACGGGGGACTAGGACAGGGCAGCAGGGATGGCAGCACAAGGGGGGATATGGGGCAGGGTTGGTGACACAGCTGGACACGTGGGGTGGCACAGGGATGGCAGCAGAGGGAGGATACAGGGACAGGGACACGGGGGACAGGGATGGCAGGTGACACAGGGATGGCAGCACACAGGCGACACTGGGATGGTGACAGATGCAGGACACTAGGGACAGGGGATTGGCAGCACATGGAGGACACTGAGCACAGGGATGGTGGCCCATGGGGGACACAGGGGTGGTGACATGACAGAAATGGCACTGCTTGGACCAGCAGGGACTCAGGATGGCAGCACAGGGGACAAGGGGCACTCCTAGCAGTGCCCTGGGGGTGGCAGGAGGGACACGTGTCACATATCTGGCCCCAGCAGGACAAGGGACGGGCTTGCAGCACAATCCCAGGGAGCTTCCCGTGTCCCTTGGTGGCCCTTGGACTCTGGCACTGGGACAAACCTCGTGTTCCCTAAGTCAGGAATGTCACTTGTCCCCTCGCAGCACCATCCCATGGAAATTCCCGTGTCCCTTGGTGGTCCCAGACTTTGGACTCTGGCACTGGGACAGACCTCGTGTTCCCAAAGTCAGGAATGTCACCTGTGCCCTCACCAGGCCATGCTCAGGAATGTCACCTGTCCCCTTGCCAGGCCACACTCAGCTAAAGTGACCTGGGCAGGGAGTCAGTGGGAAAAGAGGGATGGAATCCATCCCAAATGAGCAATTCCTGGATGCTTCCTGGTTATTCATCCTGGTTTTTTTGTAGGGAGTGACTGGGGTCTCTGAACCTTGGGAAATGTGGCTGGAAACACCCTGAGAACTTCATTCCAGCCCCAAAATTCAGGTCCATGTCTTGAGTTCTTTCCTTCCACGAAGGATGGGGGAATCATGGAATTGTTTAGGTTGGAAGAGATCTTAAATATCTCTCATTCCAATCCCCTGCACTGGGCAGGGACACTTTCCACTTGGCCAAGCTGCTCCAATATCCCAAAATCTCCCATCAAATCCCCCTGGAGAAGCTGCACCCGAGGGAAAAACCCACGACCCCAGCGTGCACTCCCAATGTTCATCTTTATTAATTCCAGGTTCGGATGAGGGGGGATACAGTTTTCCCTTCTAAATCTTGTTAAAAGCAGCAATATCCACGCTCTGCACCTGGAAGGGGACAAAAGCTGGAGTCATCCAGGAGTTCCCAGGAAAACACACCTGAGTTCACCCCCCTCCCATGGCTTCCAGGCCCTTCCCACATCCCATTCCAAGACTTACGTAGTCCTCAAACTTGGTGATCTCCTCCTCCAGGATGTCTGTCCCAACCTTCTCGTCCTCCACCACGCACTGGATTTGGAGTTTCTTGATGCCATATCCCACTGGGACGAGTTTGGAGGCTCCCCACACCAGCCCGTCCATGTGGATGGAGCGGACGCACTCCTCCATCTTGGCCATGTCGGTCTCGTCGTCCCACTGGAAAAGTGGGAATTGCGAGGTTTTAGGGTTTTCCTGGAGATCAGCAGCAGCTCCAAGGGGGTATCCAGGTGACATCTCTGGGAATGTCACAACTGATCCAAAGTGCCCTTTCTTGGCTGGAGAAGGCTCCAAAAGGCCTCAGAGCCCCTTCCAGTGCCTCAAGGAGATCCAAGAAAGCTGGAGAGGGACTTTGGACAAGGATGGAGTGACAGGAGAAGTGGGAATGGTTTTAAACTGGAATAGGGTAAGAATAGATGGGATATTGGGAAGAAATTCCTCCCTGGAGGGTGGTGAGGCACTGGAATGGAATTCCCATAGAAGCTTTGGCTGCCCCATCCCTGGAAGTGTCCAAGGCAACCTGGGATAGTGGAAAGTATCCCTGCCTATGGAATTAGATGAGATTTAAGGTCCCTTCCATCCAAACCCATCCCAGCCTTCCACGGCAACAAATCCCACCTGGCTCCAAGCCCTTGTTTGGAATTCCACAGGTGCCACCACCATCCTCTAGGACGAGAGAGGATTCCCAGCCTCATTCCCAGAGCTCCCAAATCCCCAAATCCACTCACCGGCTTCACATCCAGCAGGATGGAAGACTTGGCGATGAGTCCCGGCTTCTTGGCCTTCTTCTCCGCGTACTGCCGGAGCCGCTCCTCCCGCACCTTGGCAGCTTCCTGGTCTTCCTCCTCATCGTCGCTCCCAAAAAGGTCAATGTCATCATCCTCATCCTCCTCGGCAGCAGCTGGCTCGGATTTCTTGGCCGGGAGCTCCACTTTTTTGGAGGGAACGCTGAACGGTTCCACTTTCTTCACCGGATCCGAGGGGTTTTTAAAAGGGGAAAAAGAGGGAAAAGATTAACCTGGAGTTGCCAAAAAAAGCTCAGGAATGGGAATCTCCACTGCTTGGGACACGCTGTGGGATTTATATGGATTTATCAAAACAGGATGTTTGTCCACGTGGATCTTTGGTTATAATCCCTACAGAAGAATCCCAGCGTTTTTCCAAGGCTCACCTGGGTTGGAGGAACAGATGAGGGCTGGTGGGAAGTTGAGGATTTCTCCAGAGCATTCAGGCGGCTTTCCAGCTTGAAAATGGCCATCTGGAGGTCGGCAACAACTGGGGAAAAAAGAGGGAAAAATAGGAACAATGACCTTGAATTCCCAGGTCTCCAGCCAGGACTTCTGGAGAAGGAATTCTCCCACTCACCACTGCGGAGGTTCTGGTTTTCCACTTCCAGGTGGGAAATTCGGGACAGGAGCTCATTTTGGTCACCAGCAGCTCCAGGGGAGGTTGTGCTTGCACTCTGCAACGAGGAAAACCAGGATGAAATGGAGTTGTTTCCCCTCCTCCTGAAAAATCCATGCAGCAAAGCAGGGTTGTGTCTTCAGGGAGAGAGGAAGTTCAGGAGCTGAACTAAAACCAAGGATATTTTATCTAAATTAGGATAGACACTAATGGAGCAGCTCTATAAAATGAAGCATGGACTAAATCCCAAGGAATTTCAGCTGGCACCAAGGAGCAAAGGATAAAATCACTCTTCCCACTCTCAGATCCCAAAATGCCACTAAAACCACATAAAATTTGTATAAAATTTCACACCAAGCCCCTTAAAAATCTTGGTCTCCTCTCCCAACTCACTGAGGGACAGGAATGACCTGCCTAAGGTAACACTGGGAAAGCTGGAAAGATCCCAGGAATTCTACACTCCCACCTTCCCCAGCCCAGCCTCTAATTCCTGACAATTTCAATCTGCTTTAACACATCCTGAGGGAATAATTATTCCAACTCTGGTTTCAATGGATTTTTTGACAGCAAAAAAAAAGAAAAAAAAGCTTTTTTCTTTTTTTTTTAATGCTAAGGAGGTTCCTCATCCATCAGTTTCAGGCAACAAAGGGAAAGAAAATAACAGGATTTGCCCTTGAGTTGTCATTTCTGAGTGAAGGGAGAATAATTTATTCTCTTTTATTCCAGTGTGGAATCTCAGCAGTCACATAAATGGAAAGAGGGAAAAGCAGGGATAAGATGAAGAATACGAGGCACAAGGAGGAAAGGTCTGAATCATGGAATGGTTTAGGTTGGGATTTTAAGGATCCTCCAGACAATGTCCCACTATCCCAAGCTGTTCCAAGCCCTGTCCAATTTTGCCTGGGACACCTCCAGGGATGAGGCTGGAAAATATCAAAGGACAGGAAAAAATTCCATCTCCGACGCCTCAGCTGTGGATTCAGGCTCAGGAAGGTGAGTGCAGATCCCAGGACACTGAGCTGGGATGAGATCCCATTATCCAGGTTCATCCCAGTGCCACAGGACACACCCTGAGGAAGGAGAACTTGCTCCATCTCCTCATCCCACCAGATCCTCTCCCGTTTTTCCACAGGCTCCATCCATGCGCGGCTCACTTACAGAGGAGCGTCCCGACTGTTTCTTGGGACGGGCACAAGGAGCCTCCTTGCTCCGAGCAGGGGTCTTCTGCTGCAGGGTGGGAAAAAGTTTGGGAAGATGGGAAAAGGTTTCGCGATTCCAGAGGGAACTCAAGCGCGGGGAAGAGCCGCATGCAAGGGGAAGTTAGGGAGCGGTGGGAAACAGCCTTGCACTGCAAACATTCCCCCAGGAATTCTGGGATCTTCTCCACAAACATCCTGGTGCGTGCAGGGAGCTCGTGCAGCGCTGTGGGCTCACCACACCATGCCAGCCCTGGTGCTCCAAGGATGGAAATCATGGAATTACAGAGGTGGGAAAATCCCTCTGAGCCCATCGAGTCCAGCAGTTCCCCCAAGGCCACCACTGAGCGTGTCCCCAAGTGCCACATCCACAGGGATGTCAAATCCCTCCAGGAATGGGGACTCCACCTCTGGGCCAGGGCTGG